GAGCAGCATGCAAATTAGCAAAGATATAAATAACCCAACACATCTGAATGGTACCTGGCTGGGGAGGTCAGAGAAGATGAGCAAGATCAAATCCCAGTTCGGTTCTTTCAGAGAGAGAGAAAACTCTTGATTCTATGAATAAAAAAAAGGCAATGCTCATTATGCAAAGCTATCGAACATGGATGAGAACGGTAAAAAAGGAGGCTGGGAGACTGGGAAGAAAACAGAGGTAAGCCATCAAGAAATTTGGCAGCTTTTCACATAAATGATAATTTGACCCAGGTGAAGAGAGGAATTCTGGGAGATGAAGTACACAGGCCTTAAAAGTTGCCAAAGTTGAGAAATAGCAAAAGCAGTAGCACTTAAACTTCTATACCACTTTGTAGTGCTTTACAGCCCTCTCTAAGCTGTTTACACAGTCAGCATATTGCCCCAGACAATCCGGATCCTCATTTTACTGACCTTGGAAGGATGGAAGGCTGAGTCAACCTTGAGCCAGGATCGAACCCCTGGCAGTCAGCAGAATTAGCCTGCAATACTGCATTCTGACCACTGCACTACCGTGGCTCTGCCCTAGATTCTCTGTTCTTGAGAATGGAGATAAGGAGGAAATGGGTCATCACCCATGTTTTGTGTGCTGTCTTTAAAAGAAATGAGTGATTTATGGGACAGGGCATTCCTTCTTTGGATTATAAACAACTTGCAAATAGGGATCATTTCCTTGTAGCATTCAGATTATGTCAACAAACCAAAGTCCTTCTGGATATTCAACTCCTGCTCTTTCAAAAACAAAGGTTTCATCTCTTCAAGCTTTGTTGCCAGTTGAGGATCCAGTACTCCCAAAGAGAAGGAAATCTTCTTTAAACCAGGACCGTCCCCTCCCCAGATATGTTGGACTACAACACCCATAATGCTTGCCAATATTTTTCTGCTGCGAATGCCCGTCTAATGTAAAGAAATAATAATAACAACAACAACAACAACAACAACAACAATAATAAAAAGTTGGAAGGGACCTTGGAGGTCATCTAGTCCAACCCCCTGCTCAGGCAGGAAACCCTATACCAGTGATGGCGAACCTATGGCACACGTGCCAGAGGTGGCACTCAGAGCCCTCTCTGTGGGCATGTGCACCATCGCCCGAGCCTCGCCTCCCCCCTCAGCCCCCTCACCAGCAGCCCCCCCAGAGGAGAGTTGTCCCCGGGCGCAGCCCATGTGGAAAAGCGCAGTCAAAGACATGGCAGCCAGGCAGCAAGGACAAGACTCCACCCTCACGCCCCATCGCGCGGACATGATGCTGCGCGGAGCAGGTGGAGGGCATGGACGCCATGGTGCTGCAGGGCCGCCTGGGTGATCTGTTGCGGCGGGCCGTGGAAGCGGTGGGTGGTCCTGCAGGCAGGGCAGGGGCGGAGCAGGGGGCAGAGTGGTGGCGGGTGGGGGCGGGGTGCATTTTGGGCACTCAGTCTCTAAAAGGTTCGCCATCACTGCTCTATACCATTTCAGACAAATGGCTGTCCAGTCTCTTCTTAAAAACTTCCAGTGTTGGAGCATTCACTGTTTCCGGAGGCAGGCTGTTCCACTGGTTAATTGTTGTAACTGTCAGGAAGTTTCTCCTTAGTTCTAGGTTGCTTCTCTCCTTGATTAGTTTCCACCCGTTGCTTCTTGTCCTGCCTTCAGGCGCTTTGGAGAATAGCTTGACTCCCTCTTCTTTGTGGCAGCCCCTGAGATATTGGAACACTGCTATCATGTCCCCCCTCGTCCTTCTCTTCATTGAACTAGACATACCCAATTTCAGCAGCTGTTCCTTATATGTTTTAGCCTCCAGTCCCCTAATCATCTTTGTTGCTCTTCTCTATACTCTTTCTAGAGTCTCAACATCTTTTTTACATCGTGGTGACCAAAACTGGATGCAGTATTCCAAGTGTGGCCTTACCAAGGCATTGTAAAGTGGTATTAATACTTCACGTGATCTTGATTCTGTCCCTCTGTTAATGCAGCCTAGCACTGTGTTGGCTTTTTTGGCAGCTGCAGCACACTGCTGGCTCATATTTAAGTGATTGTCCACTAGGATTCCAAGATCCCTCTCATAGTTGCTACTATTGAGCAAGGTACTGCCTATACTATACCTGTGCTTTGTTTTTTCTTGCCTAAATTTAGAACCTTGTTTTTTTTCACCATTGAATTTTATTTTGTTAGATAGCGCCCAATGTTCAAGTCTGTCAAGATCCTTCTGTATCTTAAGCCTATCTTCTGGAATGTTGGCTATTTCTGCCAGCTTGGTGTCATCTGCAAATTTGATGAGTTCCCCATCTATCCCCTAATCCAAAATATTGATGAAGATGTTGAAGAGCACTGGGCTCAGAACAGAGCCCTGGGGCACCCCACTACACACTTCCCTCCATGTAGATGCACTTCCATTGAGGACCACAGGCTGAGTACAGCCGGTCAGCCAGCTACAGATCCATCTGGTGGTGATGCTGTCTAACCCATATTTTTCTATCTTATCAAGTAGTAGGTTGTGGTCTACTTTATCAAATGCCTTACTGAAGTCCAAGTAAATTATATCCACAGCATTCTTCTAGTCCACTACTTTTGTCACCTGGTCAAAGAATGCAATAAGATTTGTCTGTCATGATCTGTTTTTGACAAACCCATAGGCAGCTATCATTGGAGAAACCCCTGTACTTGGCAGGGCACAAAACCCATCACTGTATGGCTCAGGGTAGCAGACTAAGCAATAATATTGGTCCTTTTGACAATATGACAATGGAATAAGGCTACCATGTAGAAAAAACTTGGGCAACTGCTTTTTTGACATCTAGGATAAGATGCTCTGAAGCTGAGTTTGACTGCTAGCAATTCAATGAACTCAGCCATGGTATTTTTGTGACAACAGTATGAAACCACTTAACCCTGCCTTCTTTCATACACTATTTTAACCTTCTGGTTTAGTTTAATGCCATGGGATTACCAGGTGGTCTCCCATCCAAGTTCTAGTCAGGCTGGGTTCTATGCCTTGGCAAGTTCAGCTGGGTGCTAGCTCCTGCTAGGACATAATACACTGACACACCATTTGAAAGTTACTTCTAAAGAAGAGATAGAAAAGAGATGATAAACAATAGCTTTGTGTAAATCTACACATTCAAATCATTAAAAAAAACCAGCAGGAAAAACACTATAACTACAACAGCTGCTGATGGAATAACAACAATAAATCTACCACAATGTTTCCCAACCTTGGCAGCTTGAAGTTGTGTGGACTTCAACTCCCAGAATTCCCCAGCCAGCCTGATTCCTGGGGAATTCAACTCTTCAAGCTTCCAAGGTTGAGGAACACTAATCTAATGCCTGAGAGAAAAGAAGATGGTGCCAAAATGGATTAGCTGCCTTCACACAACAAACCCCATTGTAGCCTTGGGTTTCTCAGGCTTCACCCCATAGAAGGAATGGCTTACCAGAAACCAAAAAACTTCAAATAAGTATCATTTTTTGAAGAAAACTAAAAGCCATATCAGCAAATCTCAACACCTTTTGTAATTCAAAAACAAGCTGAGAACAACCATGCAATTATAAAGCCTGTAAATATTAATCAACAAATATAGAGTAACCATGTTCAAATCCCTCTTGCATTTAGCTTTTTTACTTCCTGTCCTACAGAAAAGACTTTTGGGTCCAATCCTTTGCTCTGCTCCATTACTCCCTTGTTTTTGTAATTGTTCAATTGTCTATGTGTGAGTTAATTCTGATTCACCATAAGTCAGTGGTTCTCAACCTTTTTAATGCCGCGACCCCAACCGGTCATAAGTCGAGGACTAAACCGGTCGTAAGTCGAGGACTAAACCGGTCGTAAGTCGAGGACTAAACCGGTCGTAAGTCGAGGACTACCAAACCGGTCGTAAGTCGAGGACTTTCCCTGCCCGGGAGCACCACGCATGCGTGGTTCCGCCCCCTGCGCCGGCCGAGGCGTAGCTGGCAAGCGGCAGAGACGGAGCAGGCCGACCACCAGCTGGCCCAGCCCAAGGGAGGTAAGGCACCTGCCGGAAAAGGGGGGGAAAAATGGCGGACAAAAAAAATAGCGGACAAAAAAATGGCGGACAGCCTTGCTTGGCGACCCCCATGAAATGGTCGATCGACCCCAAATGGGGTCCTGACCCACAGGTTCAGAACCACTGCCATAAGTCAACTTGTGCGTTTAGTTTCTGGTTAAGTGTATGACTCGAATCAGGACTCTTGAGATAATTTAACAGAGAGAATCTGAACAGTTTGGGGCAACCTAGAACTAAGGAGAAACTTCCTGACAGAACAATTAAGCACTGGAACAACCTGCCTCCAAAAGCGGTGAATGCTCCAACACTGGAAGTTTTTAAGAAGAGACTGGACGGCCATTTGTCCGAAATGGTATAGGGTTACCTGCCTGAGCAGTGGGTTGGACTTGATGACCTCCAAGGTCCCTTCCAACTTTATTATTATTATTATAGTTTTTATTTATTTATTTATTTATTTATATTTGGATTTATATCCCGCCCTTCTCCCGTAGGACTCAGGGCGGCTGACAATCTATTTAAAATACATACAAAACAATACAAATTTAAAATTAATTAAAAGGAATATTTAAATATTTGTCGAATTTAAAATATAATTAAAACCCCCCTAAAAATTACCCTAGGCCAGTCCTGCA